AATACTATACAACATGAAGGAGTGGAGCTCAGAGAACTTTAACAAAATATCTATCTTTTCTATACTGCCGGCAGAGGATGAAATGGTTGCAAAACAAAGTTTTAAAATTGAAAATGGATTACGAATGGCATGGTTTCCGTGCACAAAGGGGAAAAAAGGAAAACGGAAGACAGCAAAATCCAGAGAAGAAATGACACTTTGAGCTTTCTCTCCGGCTAGCGGGTGGAATCGCCAAGAAGATCAGTATAATTAAAGCCGGAAAAGAGGCGGCAATATTGCACGTGCTAATAAAAACGGATAATTGTAGAACAAAATATTAAATTCTGAAAGGATGCCAGCAGAAATATAATTAGACCATCATCTAGATATAGCCTTGGAAATTAGAATTGTGGCGACTGAGAGGGAATTTTTGCTGAGCTCTGACTGTGGCTCTCCACTTTTATTTACAATATAAAACACTCTTTGTATGAAATTGGATTACAAAGTTTTCCTCCACTCAGTTTCGGGAGAACCAAATTTTTGATGGATTATTCCTTTCTCTGCATCTCAAAATTCAATTATAATGGTGTAAATAATGAAAGATATTATTTGTGAAGGAATTTATCATTCTATATATCTCACAATAACGCTAACTTAACGAAATTTAAGAAAAAAAAGAATATATTGGAATCGATTTCTTTGAAAAATCCATTTTAATTGAAACGATTTTTCTTCGCATAAATTCGAATAAATATAACCATTTAAATGGAAAAGAAGCGCATTCCATCTCTACACATCGCAATTGCGGTATAGTCTCTAAAACCTCATCAGAAAAGCAAATCACGCCACAAAGCTGGCGTTTCGTATGCAAACCGTAGTCAAAAATATTTGTGTGCGAATCTGATTGGAAATGTAATTTTCCCTCCTCGGGATTACATATTCTAATTTGAAATTCAGCAGTATTTCACAATTTCTTTCACAATTTCATATTTTATTTCACCGCCATCATCTCCAGTGTCTCGGAAATTTGCAAGTTCTCGTTTAGAAAGGAATAAAGGGAAAATATTATAAATTATTCATTCTACCACAGAGTCTTATTTGTCTACAAATCTCCCCCTTTTATTTCATAAAAGTTAATTTGAAGGTTAATTTCGGAAATTTCCAACTCTATTACGCCGTGTGTTTTTTACTCTATCTATTGAGAGTTCCGGAAAGAAAAAAGTCCTTGAGTGAATTTGGAATTATCTGGCAATGGTGAAATAAATTATGGTAGTCTTGGGTATTGTTTTGATACCCAATTGTCTGATTTAAAAATCCATTTCGCAAGATTGAACATTCGAGTTTGTTTTCAAATCTACTTCTTTCGCTTCTGCCTTTTAAACACTTTCACACTCAAAGTCGGCGGAGTCTTTCAGTCGAGAAACCCTTGGCACCCCTTTGAATAGATGTAATGTGAATGGACGTTCAATAATTTATATATCCATTAAGTGATTACTTTTTTGTTGGCTCCTTTCTTGCTAACAATTCAGTGGCCATTCATCGATTGGTGCTTCCAGTTTGCAAAGCTCACATCAAAAAACCACCTCTCGATGCACTGGTAAATATGTGGTTTGTATGTATTTTGGGACAGAAAACCATGAGCTGAATGTGACAGATGTTTTAAAATGCTTCAATTGACATTTATTTTAATTTATCTGTCATTAAATCTAATTTTTCTAGCTTTGTCGCCGGCTTGCCAATTTGCATTTCGTTCCAGAGAGAAAATAGGTCTCAAGTCACCCAAAACCATTAGAATTTGTCACTTGAAATGGTAGCAATTTGTGTAAAATGGGCGCACGGGAAAATCCATGTGCATCAGTGAAATGCTGATGGGAGGGTAACTTAATGGAATTCCGATCATGCAATAATCTTAAATGTAGTTTCGGTAATTTGGGAAATCCTCCACTTCAACAAATAGTTGAAATATTCCGATTCCCTCTCATTCAAACTTAAGTAATTTATGATATCCAACCCTTAAAACCGGATGGAGCGCACGAACGTATAGTTAGGCGATGGAAATCAAGCACTTTCGAGGGTGATTCCGCGCTGGTGAGGGGCTAGTGATTCGTCTGAGAAGAGTGTTTTCCAATAATCGAAATTTATCACTTGATAGCTTTAAAGGGAGTAAGAACCCCAGAGTCGTAAGATGATGCAAATTTTCTAAATTGAATTACGATTCTCGGTCAATGATTTTCCAAGCTTAGCACTGAGCATCCCCTAATCTTGATCTGTACTCAATGCTCCTCTAAAGTGAATTACCCACCCATGTGGATTTTCCACAAAAGAGGGACAATATCACGCCTATATAAGTGGCCCCTCGCACTTTTCGCTGACTTTTCACAACTCTGCATTGCTATACATCCAAAAACGATAATAGCACAATAATCGGCTAGATGGGTGATATTTATATGCTAATTCCCGTCTTATCTCCCTCTATGCTGCGCCCTATTTGCGCCCCATACAAACAACCAAAAATGTTGCCCGAGGAGATAAAATTCTGGCCACACGAGGAGTAATTTGAATTCATTTTTTGTCTGTCTCGCATGCACAGACTGTCTCTCAGAGACTGTGGACTGTCTCTGAGACTGTTAAGCCCTGTGACTTTGCCGGAGCGGTAGATCTTGAAGAGGAGCATAATTTGTTCGACGAACAAAGTGTTTTGTATGCAGCAATAAAGCCACCTTATAAAGCCTTATTTATTCTAATTTCATTCAATTGTAGCGTTTTCATCTCACACCTTACCAAGATAAGGAGGAAAATACCACAATATGTTAATAATAAAGACCTTCTAAACCCCCATTGCAATGTTGGAAAAATTTATTTTGAATGAATTTAATATAATTTGAGGTTTTAAAAATTTGTGGTATATAAATTAGTTTTGCACCCATCTATTTAAGATTATTGAGTTTCTTTAGCTAAAGATGTCACATCGCGCTCTTGATCCGGAGATTTACTTAAGTGATTCAAACCTTTTCGGTTCCAAGTGAGAAATAAAATAAATTACCCCGCCAAACTGTATGTAAGGATTCCCAACTTCCATATTCGCAATTCACAAATTTATTCACACGTATTAGGACTTTCGCGTATTATTTAAATTCCACTCAGGTCATGGCAATAATTAAGGGAGTTATAAGCGGGGAAAATTTTTCCGTGCTGGGGTTGAACGTGGGTGGGAAATCGAGGCTCTTTTGGCTCGAAAACTTTCGGATATTTATTCAATAAGAGGCCCTGGTAGATGGGAGAATCTTGCAAAAAAGGAGGAGAATTTCGAGAGGCGAAACATAAATTGACGGATAATCTCTCTGGAAGCGATGGTATCAATAACGAACTTTCAAGCAGAGCGAAAACTTTTTCTCAACACTTGGTCTGAGACAGCAAATTTATTTACACCTTCATCAGAGGCATTCTACTTCATTTGCAATATAATTCCTGAGAACCGTAACTATAATTGCATCCATATGAGTAATGAATGCAAATAATTTGCTTCGCAAGTTTGCTTCTCAATTTTCAATTTGTTCGCCCACTAAAACGCGAACACATGTATGACATTTATTTTATGCTCATAGTTGTAATTGAGTTCTCTTGTTCTCAAATTTATTATCAGTGTATTGTACTAAATGGTGATTTAAGGGTAATTTCTGGCTTAATGGGGCACGGTGTATAAAATCTTCGTGTCATTGACAAATATCTGCAAATTTCCCCTGAATTTAGGGCCACTCTTTGCGTGGGATGATAACACTGGGCTATACAACTTGATTAATTAGCCACTCCACTTATTTGAAATTGTTTTACGGCGATTAACCGCCCTATATTTTTGTCGGAGTGCAGTTTAATTTGCTGGACATTTAGCAGAGGCCACAGAAACATTGAAAATTGCTTGGAATATTCCTCAAAGTGCCAACAAAATTTACATGAAAATGGTTTCCTTGGACACACTTCAGCTCCAGCGAGCGTTCTTTGATGAATATTTCCCTTGAATGCCTGACATTTTCCTCTTGTCACTTTCGACATCATTATTATAATTCCAGTTTAAACTTAGATTGTGTTATAATGATTTTGTCAACAAGAATTCAGCCCTCCTAAGCGTCATATTCCCGGCATTATAATTGAATATAAGTCGTTAGAATGTTGCTCATTACAGGCTCATGCGACGGTCCTTGGTTTCCCGCCATTAAATTATTTATGTGGCTTCATTACACTCTTGTTCACATATGAATAGACGGGTAACAATTACTTAGGCAAATTACCCAAAAATTACATATTCCCCAGCACCGACAAAATAACTTACATTGAGCCAAAAATTATATTGTTCCACTCGGAGCTTGAATTTTGCTGTGCGGGAATAAAATTAGGCACCCTATAGAGCTTCATTGCCCTTCTTCGTTATACAGCATCACTTCCTGTGGATTGCAATTTCATCCAATTCATGAAAGGTATAATCAATTGCGGAATATGTTTCCTACTCTCAATGTTTCCTTATTTCAGAGAAACGACACTTGCACGACTTGCACAAAATTGCAACTCCATCAGTACAGAATTTCATTGTATTTTATGGCCAAACTATTGTGCGGTTGCTTTTGAAAAATATAAGACAGTCAAACTCTCTTCAGCATTGTTTTTTTTTTGGGTTGAAATTAACATGTGTACCTCAGAGAAAGAATTTATTTCCTGGAGAAAAATTTCAAGTAGTGGAATAAAGTCTTTACTGCAGAATTTGCAGTATGAAAAGTATTTCAAAGTCACAGTTTTCCGCACATCAATTTGAGTTTCACCGTTGAGAGGTGTTCGGTAACTTTTCCATTTTCGGTGGAAGAAAATTTTCTCCACCCTCTATTTGTTAAATTAAATTTCTGCACAAGTTAATTGTCGTGCCGATCGAGAGCACACGAATATTCTCGATTATCAATGGTAGTGAGGAAGTGATGGTGGAAGTAGAAAGAGCGTAATCTCTTCTGAAAAATTGCTTTGTCGAAGGGACTTACCAATTCCAGAGAGAATGAATGCAATGACGCAACTCAACAACGTCCAAATAAGCCCTTTGGGCTTTATTTTCTTGGAGCTTCGTGACATGTTGAGTGGCACAGTGATTAAGTCTATGATTATCGGTAAACTCCACCACTAGACGAGGCGGTCTCTGTCAAGCTCCGATGCATGTTTCATCCATGGTGTACTGGCATTAATTGCAGGTGGTTTTTCAGCAAACACCGCCAATACCTGCAATACAGAGGAGAGGTTACGGAAATGTGTTAGACATTTTCAATTTCCACCCCCACAATTTTTCGTATTAATCTCTCCCAAGTGCCCAGAGAGAAGTAGCTGTACTCTCGATGCCTGATCACAAATCACACGAGCCCCAGCGATCCCCAATTTTAAATAGATGGGGTTTGAGTTGGCTAGAAAAAGCGGTGTGGGAATTGAAAGGGAAGATGCACTCTGCGGAAGACGATGTCTCCCTTTCTCGATTTTTACACCAAAACCATATAAAACTCAGTGAGTCATCAATTGATGCTGTTGAGTTCTCCTGCAGTATATGTTGTGTCTGGGGCTATTAACTATTCATTGCGATGGTTACAATATATTCTCCAGCGTTCAGGTTTATTTATCTCGGAGGGTAGAACGGAGGATTTACTGGTACACCAACTCCTGTATACATCCTTATATTATGGCATCCTCCGCCGTCTGCAATGCCACCAACACACCATTGGGCCATGCACAACCGGAAGACTTATTGTTATCGAGCTGGATGCCACCCATTTATAAAAAGACACACACATATGTATATTCGTCCCCCCTTTCCAACACGGTATAAAAGTCTACACTTTGCCGTTACACCCTTACAAGAGGGTTGAAGAAAATTATATGGATGCGAGGTCGTGAAATTCGAGATAGCTTTCCTATATCGTGCCATTGGGATGTTACTTCCTGCATCAGACTTCTCGCTTATTGAAATTTCTGTCAACATTCACAAACACTTGAGAGGTTTCGTCTTAAAATCTAGACTTTGTCCAATCTCTTGTGCCGCTGGTTCTTCCTTGATGTCACAGTTAAGGTTAAATCTACACGACTGAATTGAATTTACGACTGAATATAAAGTATATGAGCCTTGCGAAATTTTTCGTTTGTCTGAATTGACGCATGAAGAATCGATTGCGATTTTCTCAGATTTTTCTTTGCATATCCAGTATGTTTTTTATTCACAGTTTCCGAACATATGTAAGACAATTCAGCAAACAAATTTTCCAAATGCTTTAAAAGCTAATTAAAGATTAAACTCACATTTACAGTTTAACGTCTTGGAAAATGCATAATATGGTAAGTTTAAATAGTTGTCGTTTATTTGCACAAAGATGTGATTCAATCATATACAGTTTAGAGTTGAAATGTTCAGAAAGTTAAATGTTAACTCAAGACTTTTATTTTACATTCCAGAAAGTTTGGATAAGACATTTAAAAAGCCACAAATTTGCATCTCATTATTATTAAATGTACATCTTCACATTGTTTAGAATACTAAGCTTTGTGAATCGTATGAAAGCAATTGATTTAGAGAGTGTGTTGCCACACTATACCTTTCGTCGCACTACACAAATGTTTATCCAAAAATTTAAATCGTCTTAGGAAAGGTGAGCTTCCACACATGTTGAGGAAGAGAAACAAAGTTATCATCCCTCCGGCAAACAAACACTCTGAGTATCTTAATTAAAACCAGAATATTGTCGCTGGGATTGTGCCACATGGCAAGAGCATACTGTCTTCTTCTCAATACCCTTGGTCAAACATGGCGACACAACTTCCTCTGTGCATTGGGCATTCTACACAGGATCCCGTGTGACACGAGTAGGTGATGACAACGGTGAACGAGATGCGCCAGTGGAATGGTTGCTGCATAAGATTCTCTCAGTAAGTTTACCGTCTTTCGGCCAGTGGGAGGAATAAAAAAGAATCTCTGAAAAGTTTCGCCATCTCTATCGTCACTCTAGCAAGCGCGACGCCGAAGAAACTTTTGAACTTTAAAATTTCCCCCATTTAAATTTACAATGGAAAATCATTTGTGAGATAGGAGACAAAAACTTTCTCACACCACCTCGTCATATTTTTGAGCGCATTGTATGGATCTTTTTTTTTCTAAGTATATAAAATTATGTGGACAAGCGCAAGGTGATTTGCTTTTTTCCACTTCCACATCTTCCAACAAACACAGCTTCCCGTGTAATGCATTTTCTCTCACTCTCGCATCGCGAATTCACTTTGAGACTTACACTGTTTTAGCACAAATATGCATTTCCGCAGCAACTTCCTTTCCGCGAATGAGAAGACAGAGCATGTCCTCGCCCTGTAATATACCATCTTGCTACCTTCAGTAAGTTTCGAGAAAATTGTACATTTTTTCGTCATTTATTGCATTTCATTTTAAGTTTTGCTTTCTCTGGGCAATTTGCATTTCCCTTGCACAACTGTCGGGTGAATTTTTTTTAATAAAGAAAGTGCAAATCCACCGTCTGCAAATGACTCTCAGACTCATAATTTACCAAATATTTCACACATTTTATTTACTACCGTGCACAAAGTCAGCGGCATTTACCGGAAATACGTACACAAGAAATGCTCATTCAAATGACTTTCACGAAAGTTTTTCTTTTCCTTCGCATACACCAACCCTTACAGGCTTAGTTTTGGCTATTACACTGTTTCTAGAGAATATCTATTGAGATTGCATTTATTTCCAAAAAAAAAATGGGAAGCCAATCGTTTTTTGGAGACGTTATGTTGAAGGGACATTAGAAAATGTTTATATTTTGTCCACATTTTGGAGTGAATCCAATATTTAAACATTTCCCATTTGCTTTAAATGTAAATACAACAGCAAGTGGAGTAAATGTTTTTCCTAAACGAATGACAATGAGATGGCATTTTCAAACTAAATGTGGAAAAACAGTACAATAATTGAATTTATTCCTAACTAGGCTATTTTCCACACAAATACCACTTTGTTTATCGTGTTGAATATTGGAGGCATTAGAATTCCACATAAATACAGCGAGAAATTGAATTTATGTGCATTTGCATGTGAACATTTCATTCTCGAGCATCTCTTATGTTTCTCTCCATACGCAAATAATCTCCAAGTGCACCCACAAATCGGTCTTTATGCCTCAATAGGAGAGCCATTTATCAAAAGTGTTTTGTTGTTGCATCTCAATGTTTCCGATATGCATCAAATTAATGCACACCACACAATGCTGACAATGAAACGTGAGCGGAAATTACTTAAATTAATTAGTCAGAAGCCACATTTCAATTTTAATGGAATGCAGTGGTTTCATCTCAAAAACAAGAGTGGGCAGTGGAAAATTGAAATTTTAACATTTTACCATGTATAATTATTTTTCCTAGACCACAAATGGAATACGGAATAATTTGCATTACGTGTGGCTTCAACATGTGGTGTAGGGCACAGCGTCAAGAGCCTTATGCTGGGTGAACAAAAAAAAAGCGAGGAGACTGTGGCAAATATCATGAGATATCACAGGCGAATGCTAAAAATTGTGTAGCAAAACGTGATTCTGAGCAAAAACTCCAGTTCATTGTTAATCATGATGAAGGACTTCTAATCCAAAGGTTGCGTGTCTCATTCAATGGAATTCTTTCAAAAATGGTAATTTGATAGTCCAATAATCGCATGAAAACTATGAAGAAAACTATGTACATAAACCTTTGACACAAATTGCTGAAATTTTTGGCATTTTCAGATTGATAAACCTTTTATTGTGGCACACGAAAGGTTCAGACGAGTCTAAGCAAATGCTTGTGAGCACAATGGGAGCTCTCCTAAAAGACTCCCAAATTATTCTTCGGTAGCCAGGTTAGAGCATTGGGTGGCGGAGGCGGCAGAAGAATGATTATTTAGTGTGTTACATGTTGCCATGAGAGGAGATATCACGACGAACAATGCGGAAGGACACACCTTTTTGTCGGTGGTCAAACCATTCCGTACATATAAATTAGCATTGAGAAGAGATAGTCCTCTCATGAACAATGTATGCAGTGCATGTAATTTAATTCCATTAATGCTGTAAATACATTAGGTTAATGAAATATCAACCTCTTGTTTGTCTACATGGTAGACCCCAGCCCGATGGAGGGCAACACTATTTCGGGGGTTGGGCATGGATGCAAACAGCGCCGCATTTGGTGAGAACGAGAGGATAGACAGGCGTTGTGGATTGCTGTGCAATCACAAAGCAAACAGCCTTTTTCATCACGTAAATCAAACTCGCTGCTAATCGAAATTGCTATATACCATGCACGTCCACACCCATCTTCGGCGTCACTTCCTCTCCCTTTTGCCAGCATCCGAAACACACAGACATGATTGTAATATCCGGCTGCGCTTCTTCTCCTCGTCCAAGCGAAATGAGAATTTGTGGAAAATAATTTCTGTGTACCACCCAAAGATTAAAAATCATAATTTATGATGCCAAATTGTATGTAATTTCTCATCCTTGATAATATTCTGCGGCACGCCTCAGCTCTTTCCATCGTTCTCACCGAACAGACAACCCCAAAACGCTGCCCACGTGTCCGAACCGGTCCATCAGATAGCGCTTAAGGACCCCCTTCGGTACGAATGATCACATGAATCACTATAAGCAAACATGACTAAAACTCAAAAGTAAATTAGGCATTTTAATCAGTTGAAAGAGGACTTCCTTCCTCAGTCTGCCTCTCATAATCCTAGCTATTAAGTTAACAATTCAAATGGTCAGAATCCTTTTCTCATTACGCCCTACATTATTTCAGATTGCTGTGTTTATTAATGTATTTTGGAAATTTCATATATTATTCATACTTTACAAAAGAAAATAAAGTGACATAAATAAAAGTACTTGTTGTGAACTCTTGATACTTTTTTTTGCTGTTGCTGACCTCAATTGAAAAATCCTTCTCTCTTCTATCCACTTCCTGTCTCTGGATATTTACTTCTTAGCCATTGCAATTTCCAAGGCAATTTCAGAGGAAGTTGCATTATCGCTAAAGCCTCGATCAATATCTTAGCATCAGCATCAATTTTGAGTTAA